TTTGCTTTGGCAGAATGCCATGTAAATGGAATCACATGGTCTATAGCCTTTTGAGTCTGGCTTCTTTTATTCTAGCATGATGCATTTGAGATTGGCCCATGTTGTTGTGTGGATCAGTATTTCATTCCTTTTTTTATAGCTGAGTAGTAGCCCATAAACATTCATGTATAAATTTTTGTGTGCCATTCTAATAGTGTGTGGTAGTATCTCATTGTGTTTTAAAATTTGCATTGTAGGTTTTGCATTTAGGCCTATGAACCATTTCGAGTTAATTTTGTATATTTTGTGAGGTTTGTTTTTATCATATGGATGTCTAATTGTTCTAGCACTGTTGTTTTTTTTTTAAACTCACCAATGTACAAAGGAGGATCTAATGCCGTTTTAAAAAAGACTATCCTTTCTCCATGCAACTGCCTTTACATTTGTCAAAAATAAAGGTGTGATATATGATTTGCATATATTTTCTCCCAATCTGTCGGTTGTCTTTTCACTTTCTTGGTGGTGCCCTTTGAAGCACAGAAGTTTTAAATTTTGAAGTCCATTTTATCTATTTTGTTTTCTTTTGTTGTTTGTGCTTTTGGTATAATATGTAAGAAATCATCACCTTCATCACCTAATCCAAGGGCATGAAGTTTTTTGTTTGTTTGTTTTTAAGTAAATCTCACTTTATCACCCAGGCTGGAGTGCAGTGGCATGTTCACAGCCACTGCAGCCTTGACCTGCTGGACTTAGGCAATCCTTCTGTCTTAGCCTTCCAAGTAGCCAGAACTACAGGCATGTGCCGCCACACCTGGCTAATTTTTTAAAATTTATTTATTGTAGACATGAGGTCTCACTAAGTTGCCCAGGTTGGTCTCAAACTCCTGGGCTCAGGCAATCCTCTCGCCTCTGCCTCCCACAGTGCTGGGATTACAGGTTGAGTCACCAAGTCTGGCTGAAGATTTATTCTTATGTTGTCTTCTAAGAGCTTTCTAGCTGCAGTGCTCACATTTAGGTCTCTGATCCACTTTGAGTCAATTTTTGTATGCAGTTTGAGATAGGAAGTCGAACTTTATTCTTTTGCATGTAGATATTCAGTTTTGTCAGCATCACTAGTTGAAATGACTGTTCTTTCCCCCATTGAATTGTCTTGATACCCTTGTCAAAAATTAACTAACAATAAATATAAAGGTTTATTTCTGGACTCTAAGTTCTTTTCCATTGATCTATATTTCTATTTTTATGTTAGTACCACACAGTCTTAATTACTGTAGCCTTATAATAAGTCTTGAAATGGAATAGTGTGAGTTTGCCAATTGGGTTCATCTTTCCCAAAAGAATTTTGGCTATTCTCATTGCTTTGATTGCTATTGTGTTGTATCTATTCATCAGTTTTGGGGAAAATTGACGTATGAGCATAACACTTTTAAATATATGAACATGGTACATCTCTCCATTTGTTTAGATCTTTTAAAATTTCTCTTGCCAGTGTTCTATAGCCTTCAATGAATAGTTCTTGCACATATGTGTTACATTTCTGTCTACGTGTTTCATGGTTTTGGTGCTATTTAAATGGTACATTTGTTCCCCCATATCCACAGGGGATTGGTTCCAGGATCCCTCTGTGAATACCAAATCCTTGGATGCTCAAGTCCCTTATAGTATAGTTGACCCTCTGTGTTCATGGGTTTTACATTCACAATTCAACTATCCATTGATGGAAAATATGTACAGTTGACTCTTCGAATCAGAGGATTTAGATACATGGTTGGATTAATCCACAGAGGCAAAAACTATAGATACAGAAGGTCAAATTTAAAAATTTTACTTCTAATTATTCATTGCTCATATATAAAAATACAGTTGGGACCAGCACAGGGCTCCCAAGGGCTAGAGGAGCCACAACTTCTCCCAAGGGCTGGAGGGACAGTTGCTTTTTGTATATTGATCTTGTGTCCTATAACTTTTCTAAACTTGAATATGAATTCTGGTAGTTGTTTTGTAGATTTTTTGAAGTTTTTCTATGTAGACAATCATGACATCTGCACATAGAGGCAGTTTCATTTTTTCCTTTCTAATCTGTATACCTTTTGTTTCTTTCTCTTCTCTTATTGCATGGCCTGGGATCTCCAGTATGATGCTGAATAGGAGTAATGAGAAGGACAGCCTTGCTTTGTTCCCTGTCTTAGGGGAAGACATTTAGTCTTTCACCATTAAGTATGATGTTTAGCTGTAGGTTTTTGTATATGCCATTGATAAGATTAAGGGACTTTTCTTCCATTCCTAATTTGGTAAGAATTTAAAAAATCATTAATATATGTCATATTTTGTCAAATGATTTTTTGGTAACCATTGAAGTAATCATACGGTTTTTCTGTTTTAGTTTGTTGACAGGGAGAATTACAATGATGGATTTTGAACTTGAATCAGCCTTCATTACTGGGATAAACCCCACTTGATCATGTTGTATTATCATGATACATTAGCCTGTCTGAAAGTAGCTCCTATTTGTTTTATCACCCAGTGCCTTCCTCTCTCTGTGGATTTCTCCTGGAGAATCAGAGAACATGAATTATTTATTCAAGGGCTCAGAGTACCCTGGGGACATGGGCCTCCCATGCCCATGCTTTCTTGGCTGCTCTCTCCAAGAATGCTCTCTCCCACGCCTGCCATCCTCAACAGACATCTGCCTAATATAGAGACCCCAGTGTACCCCAGGCCTGCCCAGAGGTCTCTCTCATCATCCTCCCTCCCCTCCCTAACCCAGGCACTCCCCTCTACCCCTTGGTATGAATCAATTTCTGCTTCATATTGCAAGTTCTGCTTCAGTTTTTATCATTTATATCCTTGTCCTAGATAGTTTGGGCTTCTATAAGAGAATATCATAGACAGAAATTTATTTCTCACAGTCTGGAGAGTAGAAGTCCAAGATTAGGATACCATCATGGTTGTGTTCTGGTGAGGATCCTCTTTCGGGTTACAAATGGCCATCTCCTCATATCCTCACCAGGTGAAAAGCAGAGAGTCACGGCCTAATTACTCTCAAAGACCCCACCTTCTAATACCCTCACATTGAGGCTAGGATTTTAACATATTAACATATTTTGGGGGACACAAACATACCATCTCTAACACTCTTCAACTGGATTGTAAGTTTCTGAAGAACAGGGGTCTTCCTTCTTGTGAGAAATAGGTCAGATTCCTCATGCCGTGTCTTTACATACAATGACAGTGATGGGATTCTGGGGTGGATGGGGCTGGGGCAGAAGGCTGTGGGAGTCGTGAGTCAGCAACAGTAGCCAACAGAGGTGGTAGAGCTAGTAATCTGAGCTTGCCCCTTCCTAGAAGGCACATGGGGAGCTCAGAGCATTCTTCAGCCAGGAAAGAGTAAGACTTTGAAATGGGAAAGAGACAGTTTCTTCATGGGCAGACACACTGTAGGACGTCTTTAGGGAAAGATGGTACTACATACAGCAAGAAGCCCATGTGACCTCAGGCCTAGACTGGCTGAGGACTCCGGATGAAGGTTGGGACCATCTTGAAGCTGTGCTGAGGAAAGCCTTTAGGCAGAACAGACTGGAGTCAAGGACAGTACTTCTAGGTTCCAGAGACAAAGAGGCCCCTACAGAATAGACTAGGAGTCATCTGCCAGGCCACTGCCAGGCAGCTAAAGTCCCAAGAGAAAGGCTCTCTGGGATATACAAAAAAAAAATGTATACATATTTTAAGAAAGGAGAAAACTGTATTAAATTTTTATACTCAATAAGATGAATACAAGTCACACTTGAATTCTGCAATTACAAGAGGTGCTTAAAGTGGTTACCATCAGCATCCAGACATTTCTGATTACAGCAAACATCTCTTAAAATGTGTATACACTTTTTTTTTTTGGCAGTCCCAGTAAATGGACAAGTGCCTTCCTCTCTTCAGAACTTGGGACCAGCACAGGGCTCCCAAGGGTTGAAGGAGCCACAGCGGAAGGTGTGGGGGCTGACTTGAGCTCGCCTTCTGGAGCTGGGGCTAAGAATTAAGTTTTTGGAGGGAAAAACTGAGGTGTGGCTCAAAACCTGGAAGCCAGAGCATCTGGGCATGGCTCTGTCTCCCAGAGATTAGATTTCTAAAGTGCAGAAAGGCAAGGGCACGACCAGAATCAGAACACTCAGACACCCCAGGAATGTTACCTGCCAATAGAAATTTACCTAAACATCATTCACTAGGATCTAAAATGTGCCATAAAACTTGCTTGTGTGGGTTGCATTGTATTGTGTTTCGTTTTCCCTTAGACTTTCAGTAAATATTCCTTTCAAAAGAATTCCAGTCTTGACTTTGCTGACCTGGAGGGTCAGTGGTATTTTTCCACATACACATCCCAGTCGGTGAGGAGCAAGGGAGCTGTGAGATGCTCCTCAGCTGGAGGAGTGGGTTGTCGGAGCTGGTGGGAGAAAATCTGGAAGCCTAGGGAGGGAAGGAGTGGAGATCCACTGTGGACACTGGTCTTGGCCAGCCAGGCGCCTTGTCCTTTCATTTCCTAGAGCACTTAACATAGTACTGGGGACCTGATGGGTCCTGTGAGGCCTTGGTTCATTGCAGGTGATCTCTAGGGAAGGCAGCCCCTTGTCCTATGTTGGACTATATCGTGCCGTCAAAAGTGAAACCCCACCAAGGGTGGTGAGGGTTGCACCTTCCATGCAGCCCCTGCTGTCCCCAGTACACCCAACTTTGTTATAGCACCATCAGTACACTTAACCTTGTAATGTTGGATGTTATGAGTATGATTATTAGGTGATTGGGTGTCCCTAGGGGGCCATACCCCGTCACAGGACAGCCAAGCTTTGGGTTTGGCAGATATCAGACAGTCTGACTGATTATGCCTGGCTGCTCCCAGAGGTCAGCTGCTGGTGTCCTCCGAATTTGTTTATTAGCACTAGTTGTGTGTTTGCTAAGACGGGGCTGGGGGCCCCACACTTTGGGACCGAGAGGATCGAGGTCTGAGCTTGGTGTGGTCCTCTCTCCTTCTGCAGCTTGTCTCCAATGTCCTCATTTTCTCTTGCACCAACATCGTGGGCGTCTGCACCCACTACCCGGCCGAGGTCTCCCAGAGACAGGCCTTCCAGGAGACCCGGGAGTGCATCCAGGCGCGGCTCCACTCACAGCGGGAGAACCAGCAGCAGGTGAGTGAGGCCCTCCTGCCCTTGCTTAGCGGGAGGGAGTAAAGAGACTCCAGACCTGCCTCGGTGTGGCTCTGCCCCTCCCCCATGGGCGGTGCTCATTTCAGCTGCTCACTCTGCTCCCCCGGAGGAGGCACAGGGATTGTTTTCCCTTGAGGGAGTCCAGCATTCCTGGCTCTGTGGGAATCCTCTTGGAGGGACTCCGGAGAGAGAGTTCTACCCTGTCCTCACCCATAACCTCTTCATGGAGTCCCTGTGGTCTGTAAGCAAGCCCAGCAACAAGAGGCTCCTCCCTCCCTGCACGCCCCTCCAGCATTCTCAACTGGCACTAAAGTGCTCCCCAGGGGAGGGATGAGGGAGAAGGGGGAGGAGACAGGGGCTGCAGTTCCCGTGGCACCCCACACTTGACTGTTCCTCTCTGCTGAGTTCTGGGGTTTGGTTGGTGCAGAGATGGAAGACAGTCCTGTTTCTCCCTAGACATTCCTGGGTGGGGGAAGGTAGGCCAGTCCCAGGGCCACAGACTTGGGTGGGGGGTTCCCTCAGTGAACCTTGGAGCAGAGAGGGACCTGCCCCACGTGCACCTCTCTTGGGTAAGGGTGTGGTGGGAGGGGGAGTTTCAGCCGTTCCCACCATGGGAGGCAGAGTCCTGTTTGGGTTACAGGTCTGGATCACTATGGTCTCCTCTCCTGTGTGTGAACTGTAGGGGTCTGGTGACTCTGAGACATAGCTTCCAGACAGGAGTCCCGGAGGGGACCGTGGCAACCCCAGGGGAGAGAGTGGGTAGGTCAGCGGGGCAATGGGGTACCCACTGACTCTTATGCAGCAAGGTTACTCCAAACCAGAGAGGCCTACTCCCCCTTTATGTTAGTGTTTCCCTAGCAAACATTGGTGGAGCCCCTCACATGCCTAGTGCTATGTCAGATCCACTGGTTGATGTGAACATGGAAGGTCACTGCCTTTGAGTGTGGGGACAAGGAGAAAACGACCCAGACAGCAGTAGTCACTTGTATCTCCTGGCCAGCGTGGAGCGCGTGCTATGGCCACCCTGAGTGCAGAGCGGATTACTACCATGGGGGGGCGTCCCTGACTCCATCTGGATGCATCCTGGGTGAGTTACAGTAACACGGCCAGGGACACTGGACAGCCGAGCCAGGGGGTGAAGCTCATCAGTGCCTCTCCAGGCCCACGGTCCTGTTTCCCTCCCTCACTGCCTCTGTGCCCTTCAAGTATTGTCATGTTCCCACCAATGCAGACCAGTCTGAGGCCTGGCTTTCCTCATTTACTCTTTGGCCCTGTCTGGGCTCCTGGTCCAGCCTCTTGAAGGAAGTGCATGCTTGGCGGTGTTCCTGGGGTCTTCCCACTGTCTTTTGTCAACAAACCTGCCTCACCTCTGGCACACTGCACTGTGCTCACACTCTAAGCCCAGCCTTCCTCAAAAGCCCCTTGTCTCCTCCCCATTCCAGGCCCCAGTGTCTCTCACCTGAGATCTCAGCTCCTTTCCTGTCCCCTCTCACTTCTGGGCCTCATCCCTTCTCTAGGAGAGTGACCATTTTACAGCTCATCACGGTTTACTTCCTCTGGCCCTGGCCAAGCTGGACATTTCACCAGATCCACAGGGCCATGTTTAGGGGCCAACCCTCTGTGGAAGGGAAGCTTGCTTCCTGGGGACAAGCACTTCTCCTCAGCAGCTAGAGCCAACAAGCCTCGCAGAAAGAACGGCTTGTTATCCCAGGGAAAGCTTCTAGGTGCTATCTGATGAAAGATTTCATTGCTCCCCTGGCTGCCTCCTGCCCACCCCTCCTGGCCCTCAGCCCCAGAGTTAGTTATACACGTGGGAAGGCCTCTCATGAATCTAAACAATTTGTAGCACACTTCCTCCCCATTGTCATATTTTCACAGAATTGTCCTTTAATTCAAGTTTCTCTCACCAGTAACTACTTCCTGAGAGTTCAGTAAATATGAGATGGCCTTCAATGGCCGAGTTTACTGCTGCATGGGGAGGCCAGGCAGACCTGTGGAGATACCACCCTTCAGTAACTGACTAGTTTCCTCCGCATACAGCTCTGGGCTGTGATGCTGGAGGAGTAGCAGCTCCGGCCTCCAAGGCGGTCTCTCCTCACACACAGTGAATGGGCCACTGACCTGTAGCATATCAGGGGCTATATACAAGAGGCCTAGTTGGGGAGGGTCGCTGGCGGTCAGAGCCAGCCTTCCTCCTGGGAATGGGGAGACCCTGCGGGAAGGTCAGGAGCAGCAGTGGGGATAGTGACACCAGCTGGGTAGCTTGTGTGCAAAGGCCAGACAGATTCCAGGAAGTTTGGGAACCTTATGTAGTCTGCTCTGTCCAGGGTGGAGTGTGGATTTCAGTTTAGGGGTGCTGAGACAGCAGGTAAAAGGGAGGAAAAGAGTGAGACCATGGAAACCTCGAGGGCAGGCTATGGGTGTGGGCTGATCCTGGAAGTTTCAGGAGGCATAGGAAGGATGTGGTCTGGTATGTGTTTTCAAAAAGGCACTCGCTTGCTTGCAGTGGGGAGGATGGACCAGGAGTGGCAAGCTTGGAGACAGAGAAAGATCCAGAGGCCACCCGGTCATCCAGGCTGGACCTGAAGGTGACCTGGGCTTGTGAGAGGCCGAGGTTGAGGTGCTGGAGAGGCTGCTTCAGCAAGGAGCAGAGCAGCAGGCTGGGGTGGTAGGAAGTGGGCTGGGCACAGGTGAGGCACAGCAAGGGGACAGGTGGACCGGAGCACTGGGCTACAGTGGGAAATAAGAAAGAGTGGGTTCAGCGGGTCCATATTTCATGTGGCTGGTAGAACCAGGGAACCCGTGAAGGTGTTGAGCAGGGGAGGGGCATGGCACAGGTGGTGTTCTGGAGAGACTGGGGCAGCACAGGCAGCAAGGAGGGCAGAAGGAAGGCTGCCTGGCTAGTGCAGCGTACCAGAATCCTAGAGCTGGGTGAGAACCGCATGTGGACAGTGGAGGAGGACCCAGAACAGAAAGGACGCAGGTGAGAGCCGTTTCCAAATTGGCAGGACTTGAACAGTGCTGTACAGGGCCTGAGGCTGAGGGAGAAGAATGCGTCTCAGAGAGAAAGATCTGAAAGGCAAAAGCCCCTCACCTGAGCAGGGACTCGACCTTGTGCAGCAGAGCAAGGGTGTTGCGGGCAAAGGCAGGGAACTTGAAAAGAAGAGCAGGCGGGGAATGACAGTGAGGGAAAATGAGTGTGGTTTGGGCCTGATGCCGAGGTGGCGGCGGCAAGACATCCAGGTGCCCAGCTGGAGACTGATGAGCCCTAGACAGGAGGTAGGGACATGGGAGGTGGCTGTTTGGCAGTGGAAGTCTTGGTCATGGACTTGCTTCCAGAGGGCAGGCATGAAGAGGATGAGGACAGAGGTGGGACACACCATATTTGGGGCCAGAAGGAGCGAGAGGAGCCAGAGATGACACAGAAGCAGGAAAAGAGTCTCAGGGCTGCATGGGTGACCCCAGCATCTGATGTGGAATAAGGGACAAGAGAATGTCTAGGGCTGGAGGCAGCTAGAACGAAACGCAAGAGATGAGAGAATTATGTTGGCAGGAAGCCTGGCATGGGAGGCAGCCAGGCACCTTGGAGCTGGGGGGGAGAACTGGGAAAGGGATGACATCTGGACCCTGTAACGAGCTAATATGGCCCTTTTCCCTACTTCTCTCCCACCTCCCCTGCAACTGGTCTTGTTTCTCTTGGTTTCTCGGAGTCGACTTGCTTCCCTCTCTACTGGGCCACTGTCCTCCAGGGGAACTAGAGAGTCCTCCCCACCCTATCCTTCTGGTCTCCACAAAGCCCTCTCTGACTTTCCTCTCCCAGCCTTGGTCAGGTATCCCTGCAAGTGCTCCCTTAGTACCCCAGACCCCCATGGGACTGGGAGCCTTGTGAGGGAGGATCCTTGCCTGAATCCCTCTTGGTTATAACTCCTGACCCTCAGCGTGGTGCCCAGAACGTGGTAGGTGCTCGATAAATATTTGATGATGATTGAGTGACTCTCATTTAATGCTTTCAGCAACCCCTTCCCTGTTTTATAGATGGGGAACCTGAGACTCAGAGAAGTTCAGTAATTTTTCCAAGGTCACACAGAGCCTCAGGTGACAGCCAGGATTCTAACCCCAGGTACTTAGTACTTGTAGGCTCACCAGGAGTTCCTTGTGCCATGTGGCAAGCTATGCCGAAGAACCAAGAAGTGTCCCAGGCAGATGGGACCTGATAGCCCCAGGGGCGTGACTGCTCACATACACACACAAGTGTTAGCCTTATGAGTCTCAAGAAAGCTGGAAGGTTTTCCAAGGCCCTGCAGGCAAGGCACAGATGTGGAGCAGAGGGCCCTTGCCAGCCAGGAGGAAGGAGCAGTGACGAAAGCATCTACTTCCCTCCGCAGGAGCGGCTCCTGCTGTCTGTCCTTCCCCGTCATGTTGCCATGGAGATGAAAGCAGACATCAACGCCAAGCAGGAGGATATGATGTTCCATAAGATTTACATCCAGAAACATGACAACGTGAGGTAGGGGTGAGGCTGGGGGGTGAGGGCCGCATGGAAGAACTGGACCCCAAGGGAGACATCCCACTTCCTTCCTTTCAAGTGGGCACAGCCCAACAGAGTGGCCTGGTGGCTTTGGAAAGTGTGTTGCCTGGAACACTCCAGCCCCGCACCCCGAGGCCTGTGGAGTGAGTTGTCACTGTGTCCTAGGTAACTTTCCTAAGAGGTGGGAGGGGGTAGTGAGACTGCAGGGAGAGGAGAGAGAAAGGAGGAAACCGTACCACCAACTTCTGAGGGGAACATCTAACTTAACAAGGGAGACAGAAAGCATAGACTGGGGACCCAGATGTTACCACCGTCATCACATCTGCACCATCATCTGGCAATGTCCACATCTATGTGCCAGACACTGTGCCCAGCATTGCCCACCTTGTTACCAGTCCTCCTGACAGCCCTGTAAGCTGGTGGCTAATTTTACCAGCACCCCAATTTATAGACCGAACTCCTATTCTGTTTACTTTGTGTTACTGTATTTGAGATTTTCCGTCATACAAAGTTTAAAGAAAAAAAAAAAAGCACCACGAGGAAACAATTGGACAAACCCAGAATGTGGGACAGTCTACATTCTGAACTTTTAAAAAAGTTAATCATGGAGGAAGAAAAAAGTGTGGGGATTGCTCTAGATGAAAAGAGAGTCGCCGGGCTCGGTGGCTCAGCCTGTAATCCCGTGCCTTTGGGAGGCCGAGGTGTGTGGATTGCCTGAGCCCGCGGGTTCGAGACCCGCCTGGGCAGCGAGATCTCATCTCTGCAATAAATCAAAAAATCAGCCGGGCGTGGTAGCGCATACCTGTAATTCCGGCTACTCGGAAGGCTGAGGCGGAAGGATCGCCGGAGCCCAGCAGGTCGAGGCTGCGGTGGCCAGGAGCGGTCATTACACTCCAGTCTGGGCGACCAAGTGAGACTCCAACTCAAAAAAAAAAAAAAAAAAGGAAAGAAAGAAAAGAGAGTCAAGGGTCCCAGCCGGGAACAGTATACCCAGGTGGGCTGCTCCAGAGCCCACGGTCCTTCCACTGTGTGTTCGCTGCCTCCCTAGACAGAAGCTGCTGACAGCAGGGATGTGCAAACAGATGTAGATTAATAGAGTGCAAAATCTGCTTATGGTTCCATGGGGACACGAAGCGATACAGTGGCCTTCATCCAGCATGACTTCCTGGAGAGCCCTGTAATCCTCCCATATGCCCAGAAAAGGAGCTGCTGGGTTTGTCTTCGAGAGAGTTCTTTCTACCCAGGCAAGTTTTCTTAGAACTCATGAGTCCTCTGTAGTTGGTGTAAAGAGAACCCTTTGGAAACTTGGGCTGAATTTTCAGTAAAGGGGTTAAATGGATTCATGCAAATTATTACACTCAAACACACACACGCACACACGTGCACGCATACTGTAGGTGAGGCTGATGGCAGGTTTTTTCATGCAGAGCAGGCAGAACTGCCCAGTCCCCAAGTGTTCCCTGGGATCCAAGATTTTCAATTCTGCTTTTTTCCTCCGTCTATCTCCCAAGACTGAGACGTTAAGCCCTTGGGAGAAAAAAATGTATCTGCACAACACATTTATCCTCAGTTTTCGGAATCTCTCAACCCCCATCCATGCTCCTCTGCCAGCTAGGGACTGTTGTATTCAGCAGCGGCTGCCTCAGTCTCTCAGGAAGGAAGCTCCCCTGACTGAATCTCCATGTCCAGGGGTGTCTGAGGGTGCTGCGGGCTCTGGGCTTAGGCCCTTTTAGATGTGTGGATGTGCTAATTTCCTTGCTCCTTGTTCTCACGCCCGCCTCTGTCCTCCCACAGCAGAGTAATCACTGGCAGTAACAGTTCACACTTACGCAGCACTTGCTTGAACTAATCCACTGCCCTAAGTGCTTTTGTGTACTCGCTTAATCCTCACACCAAATATGAGAAGTCTGTACTGTGATTATCTCCATTTTACAGGTAAGGAAACTGAGGCACAGAAATTAAGAAACTTGTCCAAAATACTTGTTAAGTGGGGAAATTGCTCCCAGAAAGCTTTCTAATATCAGGTTTTACCTAGCTTGAATACTGAAGAGATGTTTTTGTATACCTGGGAAGGAGACTTAGGGAGCCCTTGGGCCAACAGGGGACCCGAGGAGAGGAAGGAGAGAGGTTTGGCTTCCAGTATGTGTGTGTGTGTGTGTGTGTGTGTGTGTGTGTGTGTGTGTGTGTGTGTGTGTGTGTGTGTGTGTGTCTATGTGACTGAGGAGCCACTGGGGAATTTTCCTGTCTTATGGTAGCTCTTTAAATTTGGAGGTCTTCACCTTAGGACATGTAAAGAAACAGCTTTCCCTAGTAGAACAAATTCCAGAGACTTGAGTTGCAGGTGGGAAGGGGTGGCCCACCAAATGTTCCCAACACATAGGAGCTGAGCCCTTGAGCTCCCCACTTCTGGCATTTTCTCTCTTGGTCCTATTATAACCACCTCGCTGGCCCAAGCATTGTCCCTGGTACAGCATGGACAAAAGGCGCTTTCCTTGATTATTCTTAGCTCAGCAGCACCTTCCACGTTTCACTCATACAGAACATGAAGGAAATCCAGAAAATTCTCTGCTCAGAAACAGCCTGGCACTTCAAGCATAGAGGTTCTCAGCCTGGCTTGGCTGATGCAGCTGGCTCACCTGGCCACCCCTGCACTTCTTCCCAGTTCCTTGTCCTCTCTTCCCTTCTCCCCTCCCACACATCAGGCATCATCTGACTCCCCATCTGTCCCACAGTTGCTGGTTCTTGGACCCCCAGCCCTGCAGCAAGGGGTCTGGGTCAGAGGGTCTGATTTGGGCCTCTTCCATGGTAATTACCTTTGAGTGACGCCTCTCTCCCCACTCCCGTGGAAGCAGTGACTTTGGTCAATAAAAGAATAGTGCTCTAATCACAGAGTGGCCAGCTCATCAGCCCCCAGTCATAGTGGGGGCATCTGTCTCGAATGTGCCAGGATCAATGACAGCAATCAGGAAAGAAAGAGATGAAAGGAGAGAAAAACCAAGACACTGTAATTTTCATGGGGACGGAGGTAATTCTGACTCTAACACTGCCAGAGAGAGAGGTGGCTGGTACACATCAGAGGCCAGCACAGGCAATCATATGCAAATATCCTGCTGTGGCTTCTTTCCAGGGTCCATTAGCAGCACTGGTTGCTCTTACTTTGGTCTCTGTTTTGGGTTGAACATTTGTCTTGGGTTGGGGTTGAGTAGGAGGTGGAGGGTGATATCACAGTTTGAAAACACACCTTGAAGCTGGACTTGTGGAGAGCCAGGGGGCACAGTGGTTAGGCCTGGGGTCTGGGTTAAGCATCCCTGCATGTTGCCGCTCTGCTGTATCCTAGCTCTGTGACCAGGACAAGTTATAGGCAATGAGCTACTCTGAACCTCAGTTTCCTCAACTGCATAACAGGATAGGAAGAGTACCTACTTAACAGGCTGGCAAAGAGTAGATGGAATGATATGGGGAAAGTGCTTAGCACAATATTGGGCACATAGCAAGTGTTCAGTAATTGTAAGCTGCTATTATTGCTGTTACTGTTATTATTATTATTTTTTTTGAGTTGGAGTTTCACTCTGTCACCCAGACTGGAGTGCAGCGGCCACTCCCGGCCACCGCAGCCTCGCCTGCTGGGCTCCAGCGATCCTACCGCCTCAGCCTTCCAAGTAGCCGGAATTACAGGCATGCGCTACCACGCCCGGCTGATTTTTTGATTTATTGTAGAGATGAGGTCTCGCTGCCCAGGCGGGTCTTGAACCCACAGGCTCTGGCAATCTACTCACCTCAGCCTCCCAAAGGCGCGGGATTACAGGCTGAGCCACCGAGCCTGGCTTACTGTTATTTTTATAATTATGATCACACTCCTATCAACAAGGAAGGGCCTGGGGATTCTCTAGCTGAGAATGGAAGGGTGATGAGTCATATTCATCAATTCTCTGCAGAGATATAATATTTAGAGAGGGTGACGACATGCTGTTCTCTGGCCCCACCAAGAACAAGGCCACAAGAAAAATAAATCAACTCCACAGTGAAAAAGAGTCTGGATCTAAGGAAGGATGGAGAGAAGAGTTAGATTGGGGTGGGAGGGGTGACAGGCAGGGGCCACCACTCTCTATGACCTCATTCCCCCTGCCCTGGCCCTGAGAGAAATAGTTGTATAGCCTACACTTCCTGGGGTATCAGTCAGGGACTGGCCCAGGAACCTCTAGGATGCTTTGGTGCTGAGCCACTGCTGACCACAGAGGGAGGCAGGCCAGAGGCCACAAGCTCCCAAGAGACGCCCCCACCCCAAGATAGGATACCTCTCCTGTCTGATGTATGGTGACAAATGGGAATGTTCTAGCCCTTCTGGCTGGACAGGTCAGCTGGGACTTCCCACTGCCAGGATGTCGGGCTCGTGACTTGCAAGCCCTCCTGCTTATCCTCCTCCATGCCAGATACTCCAGGGTCAGCGAGACTTTGCTGTCCCCACTTCTGGGAGGGACAAGGTCCTCCAGGACATGCCAGCAGAGGCTGCTCTGGAGGAAGAAGGGCTCCTGGAGCTCTGCCTAGGGAGGAGAGAGGTCAGTCAACCTCCACAGGGTTGGAGGAAGCAGTTGGCTGGAGCAGGTACCACATGGGTCATAGTAGACAGGCCAGAGGCCAGAGGACAGATCTCAATGCCACCAGGTCACCCTTACTAAGTGGTCAGCTGTTGTGGAATGGAGCAAGATGAGTATCTGTGTCGAGCAGACTGGTCCACACCCAACTCTGCCACTTAGTGGCTTTGGGAACTTGGGCAAGACACCTAATCTGTGCCTCAGTTTCCTCATTTGTAACATGGGGTCATCGTGTTCATTCACTCATTCGTTCAACTAATGCTATACCTCTGCCTCAAGGGTGGGGACCACCAGCCATACTCCAGGACACTCAGCTAGAGGCAGGGAGTACAATGTGGATTAAGGGTGAGAGTCAAGGTCTCTGACATCATGAAGCTCACCTTCTGT